ACTTTATTTGTATATATTTCATTATAAGCATTACTTTTACATACTTTTGTACTCACTTTATCTGTACTTATTTTATTATTAACATTACGTCTGCATGCATTTTTGTATCCCTTATTTGTTAATACTTTATTATTAACTAACTCTTACATGCATTTTAATTAACTTTATTTGTATTTATTTTTCACTAACATTACTTTTGCATACGTTTTTACTTGCTTAATTTTTACATACTGTATTGTTAACTTACTTTTGCATGCTTCCATACTCATTTTTTTTTGTATTTGTATAGTTATCACATTAGTTTTGCATGTGTTCCTTTTTTTAATTTCTATATACTTTATTATTAAATATTTTATATACTATTTGTGCATAACTTACTTTTACGTGCATTTATGCACTTTATTATTTGCATGTTTTTATACTCTCTTTATTTGTGTATTTTTATCACTAACATTACTTTTGCATGCTTTTATGTTCACTTTCTTTTTTTGCATGCTGCTATGTTATTAATAATGTGTTTGACGGTCCAGAAAATGATTTCTTTAAGTACATATTTGTTCCATTTTATTCCATTTCATTTGTCATTCATATTTATGCCAATTATTTTAGATTTGAAAAAATATGTCAGATATTATAAAATAATATTGCCGTTGTTTTTTCATTATAATGCAATACATAAGAAACTTAAATTAATTAGATGTGATGCAAAAATCTTAAACACTAATTAAATACTTAATCTCATTTATTAATTTCTTGGAAGTAGTTATTTGCTTACCGTCATAAATGATGCATGATAACAGTAATCGATGAAAATTGTATTTAAATTTCCGTAGATTACAAATTACACGATTTTAGTGCAATTTAATTTCAGTAATTTAATGGTGGGTTTTTCGATTGTATTCCTAAGTTTGCATTAATTTATTAATTTTTATTAACTCATTTTACTGGTTTTTTTTAGTTTTCGAAAATGAATATTTGTAATTGGAAATACAATGCGGTCGGAAATGTATCTCCAATTACAAAGTTTCAGGAATAATTAGTGGAAATGTATTTGAATTTTTGCAAAAAAATATTGCAAATTTTAAAAAAGTTTGAATTCTTAGCAGTTTGATAGTAAATGTTTTAACTATATCGTTATATTTATATTAGATTCACATTTGATTTCATATTTGACTTATTTGTTCCACTCATAAATTTGAATGCAAATAGAATGGAATATAATTAAATATGAATAAATGAGATCAAATTGTCGAAATATATCGACTAAATAGATGAAATATTAACAAAATTGACACATTCTTCGACATCTTAGCCGCATACGTCTTGATATTCCACAAAATGCTCGTCTTCTCGTGCAAAATTCAAATGGATCAAAATCGAAGCAAACTGAAAAAGAAGCAATCAATTTTATGATCAAATTTTCAAATCAAATATAAAAAGGTTGATAACGTTGTTAAATACAATTAGTTCTCCATTAATTACGTCAATAATGATATGTTTTAATTGTTTATTGATTGTATTATAACTTAAAATATGTGGTATTATCAGGACAGCATTAATCCTCTAAAATTTACATGACGAAGAATGCAAATACTTGCAAGTTTTTTCTCTTGAACGGATAAGTTTGACTGATGCTTAATTAATAATACTATTCAAACAATTAATTTATGTCGAATCAGAAGTGCTATAGGTAATATGATTGCAGTATTGGTATTGATAAGACTATGATGTTGACAAATAAGATTTTTCTATGATTACATTATAATGTATTCATACTAACAATAAATAGGCATTCATAATAAGTAGATGTTAATGATGATACTGTAGCAATGTATAAAGAAGGAATGATAATAATTATGAAACATTTACCATTTGCTGTTTTAGAAATAATTTTTGAATTAATGGAATTTCTTGCGATGTTTTGCTGAGAATTTGTTGTTTGTAATAATGATGGGAATTGTTGTAGTGATGCTGGCATTATTCTGAAATAAGTACTATTATTGTTTTTGGCAAGCACTACACATTGATCGTACTAATTACTTCCTAAAAAGTCGAATGGATTAAATTAAATGAATGAACGTAAGTTTTCCTTTTCCTTCTTTTTGTGTAATTTAAAGCCATTTTAAATCATACATTTCAGATTAAACCTGTTTGCAAACTCTATAAAATCAAAAAACAATTCATAGTTTATACCATGAAAAATTCGTAATATGCTATATGTCAAGCAATTAATTGTTAGTCATTGTTATCAGATGAAAATGAAATGCTAACTTTTAAATGAAATAGAAATTTTTTTCTTCGTTTGAGATACTAAAGTGATTTTTTAGATCGATTTAATTAATAGTCGCCAAGTTATTAGTCACATCTGATTAACTAATTAGCTGAAAAAAAACAAAAAATAAGCAAAATATACCGATTAGAATTTTGTTGAAATTGATTATTCGGTAGGACTTGAACAGCTTGTTGTGATAGATGTTCTTGAGCTATGGTTGTCTGATCTGCTTGTGATGATACTGATGGCTAATTTATGGGAAAATCTTACTTGATTAATAATAATTTATTCATTATTGAGAGTATCAAAGGAATTTTTTTTCTTTTTTGAGAAGAAGAAGATAGATGATGAGGGGAAATATAATTTTGAGAAATGAAAGAATAAAATGAGTCGCATGATTTGCTTTTTTCCCTTTCTACTTTAGCACATTTTCTTAATCACAAAACGAAAAATTTCTACAGTTGTTAATTTTTCGTTATCTAAACTTAAATAAACTACTTAACGCTACTCTTAACAATTATCAATTTACGGAAAGGTTTTACTTGATTAATAATGATTTATCTCTTATTAAGAGTATCAAAGAAATTAATTTTTATATATTGCTAATCTTGTGATAATAGAATAATTCAAGAATTTACCGAGAAAAACTTATTTAATTACCAATAAATTAACATTTTTTCTTCCATTATCGATAGCATCAAAGCAATTTATTACTTTATCTTGCTAACCTTATGATATCCATAATTATTCAAGAATTTGCCAGAGAATTCATATTTAATTGCTAATAAAATGGCCTTTGCTCATTTATTATACCAAAGGAATTGATAATTCGAAAGAATTAATTATTAAATATTATTAATACTGTGGCAAATCTTACAATCGAATTTCCCGGAAGCGGTTGTTGTTGTTGTTGTGGTAACATTGAGACTGCTGATATCTTTTGTGGAATTTGCGATTCTAATTTTGGCTCTGATATCGATGACAAATTTTGAATCAATGTAGGACTAACTCCTGATATACCTGTTGATTTTGATACGGTTGGTTCAACTACAGACATTCCAGTTGATGGAATTAATGATGGCGTTACTTTAAAATTCAATCGATTTGATATTTGTAGAACCTAAAAATGTTAATAAACCTGTTCTTTTACTTTAATATCCTAAAATAAGTAATAAAAAATAATCTTAATCAATGTAATCTTAATTATGCGTACTATGAAATTTCGAGTACTTAATTTATTTTCCACAGTACAAATATATTATAATACATATTGATGTGTATTAATCTATAATGAAAATACATATTAATTAAAAAAAGACAAGTTAATTAAAAAAAGACAAGTACATAAATTAATTTAAAATAAAATCATAGCGATTAAATTCATTTTAAAATAAAAATATTTCAACTAAAAATTTGTTGCCGGTATTCTTTGTCTAAAAATAACAAAGTAATTTTAAACAAAAAATCTCAAATGACACCATGGAAATCTTAACAAAAACTAAACTAAATAACAGAAAAATCTTCGTATACAGAAAGTCTTAATTGATGCTTAATTAGTTCTCAATTAATTACTACAATCTTAATCCGCATAATTCACACTTACCTTAAGAAAATCTTGAAACCTTTGAGGTTTTGGTTTATGATCAGCATCATTTGGAATTACTTCTAACAAATTTTGTTGTAAATTATTATCCAATGCATCAAACATTCGAAATGTATCCAATTTGAATTGATTTTCCTGCAATTGTCACCCTTATATATGACATTTCACCCTGAAATGTATAATTTGCATTAATTGTCATAATTTATGGAAAAAAATAACAATTTAAAGCTGATTTTCTTTTTACTTATGGAACTATTATAAATGTTTCAACGAAAAATTCTTTGTATATTGATCAATTTCCAATATATATATATATATATATATAAATATGTATTTATTGCATTTGCATTTATTGTATGAGCACATGTTGTATGTGCAATTATTTGTTTGTTTATTTGTATATGTGTCCATCGAACAATTCAACCAAACATTTATTTGACATAAGCGAAATGCAACGATTCAATAACAACAGCAATTTTTGTTTTCTTTTATCAGTAATGATATGATAACTACCATTTGATCAATTTTAATTCAACTAATAGCAAAATCTAATTATCTCAAAACTATTTTCATTGACAAAAGTGCATTTAGAAGTCATATTTCATTATTATTATTATTTTTTTGATTAGTTGATTAGTTTTACTGATTAATTATTTTTCATTAAGAAAATTTTCAAACAGTGAAAAGATAGGTATATTTCCATTTAAAGAAGAAAAAATCAATCAGAATTCCAATTAATACTAAATGAACATTACTTAAATGAGCACTTAATAAGGAAACAGATTATCAGCTAATTAGGCACATACACTGTTGATTCTGGTTAGCAAATGATCATTTGTCGTTAACAGCATTTATCATTTATCAGTAATAATACGACAACTCCCATCTTTCCTACATTTCTGTTTTAAATTGTTTTTTTTCGGTGAAATCAGAATACAAAATTCTAATTACGCTAGTATACCTTGCATGTTGTTTGTTAATTAATCATACTGATATATTTTGAAATATACTTATTATCAGATATTTTATATTTTTATTGTAGCATCTTTTGACATGAAAAAATTTTCATACATAAATAACGAATAATATTTGTATGAGAATTTAATTCTTTTAATTATAACATCGTGTTAAAAAAGGAAAAAACTTTCTAATTACAAATTACTTAATAGCATACTGGAAATACTTTTATTATTTCTACCTTTTTCTCCTCTTCCTCTCTTCCTTCGCACTCTTTTGTTTAATAAAATTTCCTAATCAGTTTACAATTTGATGATAATAGCAATTTATAAGATTCAATTTATTTGCCTAATTGTCGAATATTTTTATATTAATTACTTTTAGTCGGAATAAACCTGAAATTTATGGGGAATTTCTTCCAAAACCTGTTCATACCTGTTTTTACTACAAATGCATTATTATTATTACTATTATTATCATTGAATTGTTTTGTTGCTGTTGTTGTTGTTGTTGTTGTTGTTGTTGTTGTTGTTGTTGTTGTTGTTGTTGTTGTTGTTGTTGTTGTTGTAAATAGTGATGATTTAGTGTTTGAGGTAGTGAGAGAATTAATTTGAAATTTAAAATTTTTCTCCCACAATTTCATTTTCTCTTCATCCCTTCTTCTATCTCCGTTTTAATTTCAATCACTGCTTAAATTAATCAACTCCTTTCCTTTCCATTATTTATCATCCACCCTTTAGCATCATTTCTAACAAGCAGATGTCATTTTAACTTCATTTCCACTTCCTTTTTTTTTTGCATCCAACAATACCACAATTCTATTTACTAACATTCATCAAAATTGTATTATTCTTTTTTTCGTTTTGAAAATTTTTTTGAAATAAATTTCATCTTTCTTTAGTTAAAAATTTGAAATTTCACAAAACAAATTATGCAATTTAATTTTAAAAAAAATCAATTTTTTTTTCGAAAATTTTAAATTTTTTTCCTTTTCAATGTATTATAATTTAAATAATTAAATATCAAATGTATCCAATGCTTATCATATCATTTTTATCAAAATTTCTGGTATGAAAATGAAAAAATGACAAACGAAAACTTTTTTTGCAACCAAAAATTGATGGAGAAATTTCAAATGTTTCAGAGCTATTAGTATTTTAGTTAATGTTATTAGTAATTATGAATTATTACTAAACAATATAGCACCAATAAAATCAAATATATCAAAATGAACAGAAATAATTGCATAATAATTTATAATAAATGATAGCAAATTTGGTAATTTTCCAAGAAATTAAACAAAAAAAAATGAAAATAAAACTATTATTAAATAATATTTTCTCATTTTTCACGGATAAATTGATTTCATAAATTAATTTTGTAAACAAATTTGTGAACAAATATGGACAAATAAATTTTTACAAATAAATTACACAAAGTGTAAATTATGTAAAGTAAAAAAGAAAAAAATTTCGTGAAAGCAAACATTTGGAAATAAATTTATTCATTCATTTTTTTTTCTATCAGAAAAAAAAACGAATAATTTTTATGGATTTTTTTTGCTTCGCTTTTTTACTTTGTATCCATCAATTTGTTTTTTGTGCAATAAAATGAAATGTAAAGGCAAAAATTTGGCTTTTTGAAATTTACATTTAGTTCATAAAAAAATTGTTTAAAAAAGGAAAGAAGAAAGTAAGTGAAGAACATGAACTTGAAAGTTTTAATTTCATTTAAAAGTTAATTAAAGTTTTTAGTATATTATTAAGATAGATAAAATAAACAAAATTGTTGCTAACAAATTGATTTAATGATAACGATTAGTGATTAATTGATAAATTATAGAAAAGGAAATTTTTTGATAGCAATTTCAATCATTTTAAAATTGAATAAATGCGATTGCAAATAATTAAAACAAATGGTAAAAGGGACAAAAGAATGGATCATTTTAATAGATATGTAAAAAATGTTTTTGAATGAATTTAAGTAAATTAAATAAAAATTTCAATTCATTTTTTCCTAAAATTAAATTCATTTATTTTAGAAATTGTTATAAAATATTTGCAAATTTGATAAATTAACTCATCGTCATTAATTGATCATAAAAGAATCGATGGACGGAATGATATATTTTGACATTTTGGGCTTGCATATTAGCAATTTATGATCATCATTTTTGCATGAAATTAGCATTTTATGTTTGTTTTAAATTGGCTAATTGTGCGAGAAAAAAAAAAAAAAACAAAAATTAGAAATGAGTTAAAAGGTTTTTTTTTTGATTATATATTTAAAAAATCTTTTATCACTTTGCCAATCATTGATATGTTAACAGTAGAGTAATGTAATGATTTCATACTGTAGCAAATATTATTTTAGTAATGTGATATTGTAACATTTAATTAATAAAACAAATTAATGGATGAAGAAAAAAAAAAGATGAAATATGAGAAATTGATCGGAATTACATTGCATACATATTTCTTGCATAAATTATATGACATGCATATTAATCGCATGTTTGCACGGCATGCATATTGCTATGCTTGCATGATTACATTGCATGCATATTGATTTTATGATAGTTAAAAAAAAAAGAAAAAAGGAGTATAGTATGAATTATGTGATAAAAAGTAAAAAAAGCGAAAAAAAAAAGAAAAGCTGAAAGCATAGAATGAAGGAATAAAATTTGATTTTTTAAAATTTAATTTGATTTGATTTTTTTTTCTTTTGAAATTAATTATTTATGAAATATTTTATTAGCTGTCATGAAAAGAAATAAAACAGTGTAAAAGAAATTTCTAGCAAAAATCAATCAACTTCAAAATAATCCCATTTTATGGTAATTTTTTTCCCCCTTTTTATGTCTTCAAATTTTACCTTTTTTTGCAAAGTAAACGATTAAAACAATCTTACCATCATATATTATTTATTTGCTAAAATATTAGCCGAAGAAAAAAATCGGCTAATTGAGAGGAAATTACTAATCACTTGATTTAAAAAAAGAAATTAATAAAAAAAAAAAGAGAGTAAATTCAGGTATTTCCATAAAATGAAAGCGATGAAATTAGGACGAAATCAATTTGTTGTCATTTTACATTTTCATTTTTTTTTTTTTTTAATATATTCGTTTAATTGTCGAATAATTATCATATAAAATTGGATTGTGTCATAAAAGTTAATTTTTATTTATTTTTTAATTTTTCTATTTTTTTTCATTTAACATTTTCATTTCTTTTCTTTTTTTTAGTATATTCGTTTAATTGTCAAATAATTATTATATAAAATTGAATTATTTTATAAAAATTGATCCTTTTTTTTTTGTTTGTTCAATCACAAAAAAAGAAGAAGGAAAATTGATAATAATTACTTAAAAAAGGAAAAAAAAGAGAAATTCCTTTAGGTAATTTTCATTTTGTAAGAAATATTACAAATAAATTAAAATCAAAATATAATTTACATACTTATATATAAGTGATAAAATCAATAGTTTTCTTAATTACTGTTTAGTAGTTTCAAATTTTCCGGAATGTAAACTGAGAGCAGTT